AAGATCCTGCACGTCCTGGCGCAGCCATTCGGCCCATCGTCGCAGAAGTCGTCGCAGTAGCTGTCGCACCTGCACTCGTGCGGTGTGCCCTCGGCGTAGTTTCTCGTGTAGGTCATCCCGTCGCAGCCCTCGTCGGCGGCCAGTGCGGCACCGAGAGACTGGATAGATGGGCACGCCTCACCATCGTATGATGGCCCGCCGATCGCCGAGGCATCGCAGTACCGGCAGCCCGAGTCCTCGACGCACCCTTGCCCTGGGCAGGTCGGGTCCTCGAAGCACCAGATAGCCGAGTTGGCATGCGGTGCTGCGCAAGGCTTCGCGTCCGCAGTGCAGCCCGAAGACGGCGCTGGCGAAGGGCACGCCTCACCATCGTACGATGGCCCGCCGATCGCCGAGGCATCGCAGTACCGGCAGCCGGAATCCTCGACGCACCCTTGCCCTGGGCAGGTCGGGTCCTCGAAGCACCAGATCCGCCACCGTGCCTGCACGATGTGGATAACCTACGGTGTGAAGCACTGTCTGGCGGGGTTTTTGACATCTTTCAAGGGACCCCCCTCTCGCCACGCTTCAATGCATGCACTGCCCCCCCCACCTGCGCTTCGTTGGCGGGATCTTTCGAGCAGTCGCCATCCCAGGCGCTGGGCTGGCACGGTGGCGGGGAGTGCCGCAGGCAGCTGGATAGCCGAGTTGGAGTGCGGGGCTGCGCATGGCTTCGCGTCCGCGGTGCAGCTCTCCAGGCGTCGCGCCGCAGCAGAGCCCCGCAAGCTTGCCGCGGTCTCCTCAGTGGCCAGCGCTGCCCCGAGCGACAGCATGGCGAATGACACGCGGGCCATGGCGCTCACACAACGTCTGCACCTTGCACTCTGTGAACTGAGGCTTCCCACAAGATCGATCGACTTGAGCCAAACCGAAAACGGTCCTCATATCAGGAAAATCCGACCGTCGTCATTTGACATGAGGCCCCTGCTGGGCGTGCTCCAGGCCAGCCCAAAATCGAGGAGTCTTCTCCCCCCTCCAATCCCTCACCCCTCATCCATCCACAAATGCTCAATATGAATATTACGTCCCCTTCTCCCCTGGCCCAGTGCGGAAGTTGACCCACCCTCTCCGCGTAGTGCGTAGTGCTTGTAGACAGGGTTCAAATGTTGATATCACGTATGCTGTGTATTACAACCCCGTCACGATCGGTCCTTCAAAATGGTGCTGCCGCTGCAGCGTCATTGCCCCCGCCGTTCACTATGACACGGCTGCGCCAGCGCGGGCCACTTTTCTGGAACCGAGTCCTTCCTCATTTGTGCCGCCTCCCTCCTTGCCGCCCTCCATCCTTTCCCCTACTCCGCCTTGCCCTGATCCTCCTGCTCCTCCCGCTCCTTCCACTCCAGCTCATGCTGCTGCTGTTCGTCCTCGTCCTCGTCCTCGTCCTTGCTCCTGCTCCTCCTCCTCCTCCTCCTCCTCTTCCTCCTGCTGCTCATATTCCTGCTCATCCACCACCTCCTCCTCCAGTGTACGCAACTCACCTTTTCCGATTACGAATAACACGATGGAGCCCTGTTGGGGAATTCCAGGTCCGCATGACACGCGTCGGCGGTCAGAGAAAAAATAGCACCATGGGAACGAGAGGCATCCCAACGAACCCTAATATTCATCCAAGAGGCTTCTGCCCTACAGCCCAGGCACGGTGGCAGATTGGGCCGAAGGCCACTCGATCCGCCGCCCCCGGTGGTCTTGCCACAAGGGTGCCTGGCATGCTGAACCCTACGGCTTCGTTTTGGGTCTTCTTCAAAAGAACTCCCTCTGGGGCTTGAGCCCAGCGCGCCGGCCACGCGGAAGGCTCCCAAACGAGCACGGCGTCCACAAACAAATCTCCAAGACGGCGTCCTACCTTCTAAGATGGCCATGTGGGCCCAAGATTGCCTCCAGGATGGCCCAAGATGGTCCAAATTGCCTCCAAGTCCGCCGAAGAAGCCATCAAAACGGCCCAAGATGGCTCCAAGATGCCTCCGAGTCCTCCCAAGAAGCCTCCAAGATGGCCCAAGACGGCCAAGAGGCTCCCAATACGCCCCCAAGACGTTCTCCAGGAGGGCCCGAAGAGGCCAAATTCATTGGTTTTCCCAATGTTGTTGCAGGATGTTGGCGTTTGCTTCTTCTCGGCCTTCCGAAAGCCCAAGACGGCCCAAGAGGCTCCAAAAATCGCGCCAAGATGGTTCCAAAGGCCTCCACGATGACCTAATGACGGCCAACAAAATTATCCCAGTGCGACCCTACCTAGGAGTTGGAGCCCCCATGGAAGCAGCATTGGTAGTAACACTAAAGTTAAGCTCAAGCTAAACTGAAGCTAAGCTAAAGCTAAGTTAAAGCTAAGCTACAACTTAGCTAAAGCTAAGCTGGAGCTAAGCTAAAGCTAAGCTGAAGATAAGCTAACGCTAAGCTAAAGCTAAGCTAAAGCTACGCTAAATCTAAGCTAACGCTAAGGTACATCTAAGCTAGCGCGAAGGTGAAGCTAAGCTAAAGCTAAGCTACAGCTAAGCTAAAGCTAAGCTAAAGCTAAGCTGCAACTGAGATAACGCTAAGCGAAAGCTAAACGAACGTTAAGCTAAAGTTAAACTATATATAAGATGTAGCTAAGCTAAAGCTAAGGTAAAGCTAAGCTAAATATTCGCTAAGTCTAGGCTAAAGCCAAGGTAAAGCTAAGCTAGAGCTAAGCTACAGCTAATATAACGCTAAGCTACAGCTAAGCTAAAGCTAAATCTAATTCATATATGATATGCTAAGCTATGCTAAGTTATGATATGCAATACTGTGCTATGTTATGCTATGCTGTGCTATGCCATGTTATGCTACGCTAAGCTACATTAGGCTAAGCTTCGCCCAGCTAAGCTAAGCTAAGGTAAGCCAAGCTAAGCTGAGCTAAGCTAAGCCGAGCTAAGCCCAGCCAGGCTAAGACGAGATAAGCTAAGCCAAGCTAAGGGGGCGCTATGCTAAGCTATGCTAAGCTATGTTATGCAATACTGTGCAATGCTGTGATATGCTGTGGTATGCTGTGCTATGCTATGCCATGCTATGCTATGCTATGCTACGCTAAGCTACATTAGGCTAAGCTAAGCTAGGCTAAGCTAAGCTAAAATAAACTAAGGTAAGCCAAGCTAAGCTAAGCTAAGCTAAGCCAAGCTAAGCTAAGCCAAGCTAAGCTAAGACGAGATAAGCTAAGCCAAGCTAAGGGGGCGCGACTGGGGGGACCGCGGGGCGGGGACTGGGGGAACCGCCCGGGGCGTGTAGCACTGCCCGGCCCCTTTAAGCTAGAGAGTAAGAACCCTTCTAGGCAGAGCCTAGGTAGGGAACATGGAAAACAGTCCCAAGAGGGCCTCCAGACGGCCCAAGAGCAAGATGGCTTCCAAGACGGCCCAATCGGATCCAAGATACCTCCAAGTCCGCCCACGAAACCTCCACGATGGCCAAAGAAGCCCCCAGAGGCACCAAAAACGGCCCAGGAGGCCTCCAAGAGGTTTCCAGGAGGGCCTGAATGTACCCAAATCACTGATGTTCATTATGTTCGGGAGGGATTTGGGCACTTGCTCCTGTTCGGCCTTCCGACGGCTCAAGACGGCGCAAGAGGCCCCCAAGACGGCCCCAAGATCGCCGAAAAAGCCCCCAAGCTTGCCCCCACGACGGCCTAACATGCCCCCAAGACGACCCGAAAAGCACCCCAGGACGGCCCAAGAGGCCCCAAAGATGCCGTTCCTATCGTCAGATACCCGCAATTCAAAGATCCCGCGCCCCCCCTCCCGCTCCTCCTACCACAACTCCAATCTTTCCCATCAGCAGTGACACAATCCCACCAGTTCTTTAGCGCGTGAATGGTTTGGGGCGCTTCCTCTTCCACCCCCTTCTTGCCCTCTGGGAAGGCTGCCCATCACCCGGCCACCCCCTGGGATTGGAAGGAGAGGGCCACGGGTCGTTGGAACGGCCACGATGGTCTCAGCGAAGGCACACATCATTGATGTGACTCACATTTGGGGCTCATAGTAGTAGTCGTAGTAGCATTAGTAATAGCAGTAGTAGTCGTAATAATCGTAACAATAATAGTACTACTACTACGGCGACGACAAGTACTACTACTACAGCTACTACGGCTACGACTACTACTTCTACTACTACTACTACTACTACTACTACTACTTCTACTACTACTACTACTACTACTACAAATACTACTGTTACGACTATTACGACGACTACTACTACTACTACTACTACTACTACTACTATTGGTAAGTAGTGGTGCCAGTCGTACCAATAGTAGAAGTAGTAATAATCGTAGTCGCGGTCGTACTAGTAGCTGAGCAGTGCCATCAGTACCACTCGTGGCTGTCATGTTCGGCGTCATAGTAGTGGTGATAACAATAATGGTGGAAGCAGCAGTAGTAATAGTAACAGTAGCGGTATCACTGACACTAACGTCATAACGGTAGTGATCGTATTAGCAATCGTAGTGGTTAAGGTGGTGGGACTACTAGTAGTCGTAGCCGTTAAAACAAATTGTAATAGTAGTAGTCATCATAGTAATCGAAATCGCAATCGTCGTCGTAGTAGAATTAGTCGTAATAGTGGAAGAAGTAGCGGTCGCAGCGGCAATAATAACAACACTAGCAGTAGCAGTCGTTAGTAGTAGAAGTAGTAGTAGTAGTAGTAGTCAGAGTAGTAGTAGTAGTAGTAGTACTAGTAGTAGTAGTCGTAGTAGTAGTAGTAATAGTCGTCGTCGTCGTCGTCGGCGTCGTCGTCGTCGCCGTCGTCGTCGTCGTCGTCGTCGTCGTCGTCGTCGTCGCCGTCGTCGTCGTAGTAGTAGTAGTAGTAGTAAGTAGTAGTAGTAGTAGTAGCAGTAGTAGTAGTAGTAGTAGTCGTAGTAGTAGTTGTAGTAGTAGTAGTAGTAGTAGTCGTAGTAGTAGTAGTGGTAGTGGTAGTGGTAGTCGTAGTAGTAGTAGTAGTAGTCATTATAGTAGCAG